TCGGAAATCAGCAGCAGCCACATACTTCAAGTGAGGACTTAGTTATATTTGTGCAAGATGACTTATGCTGTTCTATCAATCGCGCCAGGGCTTCGTCTTCTGCTGTGAAGAATTTCGGTTTGCTCAGGCGAGTCTTTGGTCAAATTGGATCTGCACTGTTCGCACGTTTGCTAGCAGTGTACATTCGACCGTACACAGAGTACGCCATTCAAGCTTGGAGGCCATGATTACAACATGATCGCAAGATGCTGGAGCGCCCACAAAGGAATGCAACCAAGATCGTCAATGGATTGAACTACCTCACTTATGAGAGATTACGATCTTTGGGACTAAATTCTGCTCAGTACTGCCGAATTCGAGGAGACTTGATTCTGGCGTATCAAATACTGCAGAACCCCAACCATCCATGTCGGCGGTTGCTCACGTTGTTGCCCGACAGATACCTTAGGGGATACCGTTTTATATTACTGATTCGAAAGTGTCGACTGGAATGCAGGCGTCAATCTTTTGCAGTCAGAGAGTGCAGATTTTGGAACACTCCTTCATCACACGTCGTTCGTGAACCAACAGTTGAATCTTTCAAGCAGAGGCTTGAAACACCTTGCATTCTTACACAAGTAAAAAAAATGAAAATTCGTTGAAGGCTACATTAACTGTTATCACTTATCCGGAACTCCAAGTGACATCTATACATTTGTTTCGCCGAAAAAACGATTCAACTGTGCAGTTAGGATAAGAGAAGCATGAGTTTGTAAGTACCTCTAATAACCAAACTTTGATTTTAACTTTGAGTGAGCTTGTCAAAAACATGATGATCCACTAACGACAAATCGGTGTATCTGTGAAAAGAACAGGAAATCCGATCAAAGAGAACAAGACACACCCAACTCATTCAACTTACGCATCGCACCACCCGGGGCTGATTGCATAGGACCACCGGTTGGACCAGGACCAAACGGATCGGAGGACGGGTGAGGCGGGAGGAGGAGTGGAAAACCGGAATAGTTGGCCGGGCCAAGGGGATATCTGGCGTGAGCCGAATTTGATGCCATTGCGGATGTCATAAACGGTGTCGTGTTGACCGAAGCAACCGGACCAGACCCAGGAACTGTAGCATTCGAGGGTGGTCCAGGAGGAACAGGGGCGCCCGGTTCAAGCATTGAAGGGACCGAAGGTGGCATGGGAACTGTGGCCAGACCGAGTCGAAGCAAGACGTGTATCAAACCAGTGAACGAGTTTGAGTTTATGTCGGAAGTCGAGTGGTTCAGTATGCACTCAAGCTGTTCGATGAGCCACTGATACACAAGTTTCGGAGTTTCATCGCCAAGGAACAGCAGGTGAGTCAGACAGGAAGAGATCTGCCGAATCAAAAAAGAAAAGGGTCAGAAAAAAAGAAATTAGTCAAAGCAAAAATATATCGATCGTTCGCTCAGAACCCGCAAAAAAACTGTACTATCGATATAAGGGATATTATCTCATCATACTCAAAGATATAACATCAATTCGCAAAACATATTAGGGCGTATAGTCTGATTCGTAGATCGAAGGAGATTTGAACAGCATCATGAAGGATAACAATGGTATATTTTCGGGAAGTGAAAGAAACTCACCCAAAAATGTGTATCCACTCGGTTCTCATCGTACCAACCGGCTACGGTGTCCAGCATGGCACATGCAGTCTGTACACTGGGGGGCATCGGTAGTGGTGGTGGTGGAGGTAGAGTGGCTGACTCCAGGACGGAACGCACGAACCGACGTATGGACTCGGATGCACCAGCATGCAATAGACGATAGCTTTGATAGGTCAACCATGTAATCACCCAATGCGGCAACACGGCAGTCGGGGGCGGATGATAATTGGCCACAGTGGTCAGCTCCGGTGGCACGGGGATCGACGCACAAGCCAGTAGAGCTTGTACTGTAGACAACCGTGCACAAGAACCCTGAACAACAAGAATAAGAAATGGGGTTCAGAGGCGTTCAGAGAGGTGTACGAGTGGGGCATTTGAATTCGGCCGCGCCATTTAGTTCAAAAATCATATTCACACATTTCGTGGATTTATTCGTCATCATATCACATCGTTATCAATTTCGAGGACAACAAATGCTATCCTACACTAGGACGTTTATGAAATCTTTGTGTTATTGCGTGAACCGCACCTTTTGTGAAATGTTCCAACAATGTCAGAAATAAGTTCAAGCGGATGATCAAGACACAAAACGGTAGAAGGAGAAAACAACAAATGGGTTGGCAAGCCTTTCCCAGACAGTGCAGTACCAGTCAAATGCAAATTCCTCTCATTTTAACAAGCAATGTTCGCTCTCTGTTGGGAAAAGTCGAGGAGGTAGTATACTTCACACAGAAAAATTAGTACAAGAACCTGGGAATTATTTTACTACACGAATCGTGGCTGCACGAAGAAATCCCCAGTGAAATTGTACAACAGGACAGATATAACTTGTATCGGGTTGACCGCCCCGCGAGTGTCCGTAAACGAGGCGGTGTTGCAAGTTACGTTAGCGACAACTGGAGTAAATCAACCACCGTCATTTACGAATACTCAAGGGTTAAATTCAGTTGTCATGTCATCGATGTAAGCCCCGTTTTGTGAGTGGGTTTCATTCCATTCTTGGAAACTTTTACCTGTCACCCACAATATCAGTTGCTGACATAAATAGCTTTTCTGACATTTTTTCTACCCCCATCATATCAAAAACAAGTGACTCTTTGTGTTTATTTGTTGGTGATTTTAGCAGACATGACGTGACATTCCTCACCACAATGGGTCTACAAAATTTGATACATTTTCCTACCGGACTCAAATCACAACTTGATTTCGCTTTCACAAACAATTTACATTTTTTCGAAGTCCAGAAACATGCTCTTCTGAGCAGTTCCGATCATTATAGCTTAAAATTATGTCCCATTCTATAGAGCAAAACTAACCGTTTTTAGGAAGGCCTTCCACGATAGTGAATCAAGTAAACTGTTCAGCAGAGAACCTAGGAAGACTAAGATCCATGATTGCCACCACAGATTTTTCGGTGTTTCCCGAACAGAACCCTTTTATCTTCTGTGAAAATGTTATGGACTACCTTAATTTCTGTTTTAACCAGTGCTGTCTACTTGAAACGGTCTTCATCCGTAAAGACAGATATTCATCACCGCCATCCAAGCAGCTACGCAGGCGAACAGAACAAGCCTATAAACAAGGACAAAGAATCCATGTCAAGCGGCTTACAATGTCGATTAAAGCTGAAATAAAGAAATTGTACATCGAAACTATCCCGAGAAAATCTACTTGTCGTGGAATGTGGAGGGTTATCAATCGACGGTGTGGCAGTAGCAATAAACACAAAAAGGAAACTGTTGACGTTGAAAGACTAAATTCCGAGTTTGGTCCAGTTTCACGGTGCACTGCCCTGCCAAACTTAGTCAGCTCTATGCTAACACCAACTATCGAACCCGCCACAGTCCTGAAACAGCTACTGAAAACAAAGTTGAATAAAGCATCTGGCCCGGATGAACTATCACCCGTAGTACTCAAGGTATGTGCGGACACCCTTTCAGCCACATTGTCTAAAATATCCAATGGCTGTCTGATGAGCGGAAAAATCCCTGATAGTTGGAGACTGGCCAAGATAACTCTCGTTCCAAAAAAGGAACCTGGGAAGTATCGTCCCATTGCCTGCACATTAATCATGCTGAAATTATTTGAGAGATGCTAACTACCGTGGGTAGTCACTGAGTCTGCATATCGTTCTTCGAGCTTAACACTTGATGCCGTTGCATACTTTATTCATTGAATAATTTCCACACTAAACAAGAAAAGTAAGACATTCAGACTGATGTTCGCAGACCACAAAAACGCCTTCGGCAGTCTGGATCAATCGGTAGTGCTCAACCTGATTACCGAGAGTGGTGTTCATCCAAACGTTATCAAATTGATCCGCGATTATTTCACAAATAGAAGGTAGTTTACGTGCCACAACAGCAAAAAATCCTTCACTCGCCCAGTTGCTTCATGGTGTTCTACAAGGCGTAATATTTTCCTCAGTTTTCTTTTCAATGTATGTCAAACAATTCTCCATTTCTCCTGCATTCATTGGCTGTAAATACGCAGATGACGTTGTTATAGGTTACAAAGCATCCACGCCTGAAGAGGCTTCGGAAATTCAAAGCAAACTAAACGAGGTTGTTACTCGGTCCTTGCACTGTTCTCTCTAACTGAATATCTCTAAATGTCGGGACGTTGTGTTTTCCCTGTTGACCGATGTATCATGTTCAGCCCTCACAGTTCGTTACCCACCCTCTCTGCCAATCAACAACCCGTACGAAATCAACAATAGTAAAATAACTTGGCGTCAATTTATCACAATTTACCATGGTCACTGCATGTTCAAAACACGTTCTGTAAAGTTAGAAAGCTTACATATTTCTCAATCCGATTGAGAATACTTTCTATTCCCCATAAGCTGATTGTTAGGTTTGTGAATGCATGCGTGCTCCCCCACTGGTTGTATTGCTCCCCAGTGATTTTTACCGGTATTTTGAAGAAAGACTTTTATTTACTGGCGAGATCTCTGAAACATCTGCAAATGTAGTTGCGTCATCACGGGTAAACTCGTGGATTCTATCAAAGACAGACACTTACAAGCATGTGAACATTTCACCATCAAAATACTCTCGGACACTCACCCATTACACAACAAATTTTCAAAAGCTACATCAACATGATTCACACGCTCTTTCATTTGCCCGTACTTCTTCTGATCGTAATTCTGTTTTTCCACGTCCAGTACGTCTACTTATTGACCAGGAGAAGATTTCCGTAGAAGTGAGCAATTGCTTGCTTCATTGACAAGCACCATCTACTGCTTTCAGTTTCATTATGAACGATTTTGTAAATTTGAATCCACAAATATGGTGTAACTGCTGAAAATTCACCTATCCGAGTGCATAAAGCCGCTACCGAAAAAGATGAGAATGTTATTCTCGCGTCCCAGACGAAGAATGTGGGCTAGCAACTGAGTTTCCATTGAAGTACAAACCAGAGGAGCAGTAGTTTTTTGGGTTGTGTTAACGTGTGAAGGAATGACCCGTCCACGTTCAATATTCGATTTGTTTGCGGTTCATCACAGTTCGGAAGCCTTGAAACTAAGTGAGAACGAAGGCAGACGGTACAACTTAGTTGGTTACAGTAAACCGCACCAAAAAGCATGGCACAAAAACTACTCGATCTGGTCCACTGTTGGATATTGGGCTTCAATTTTTGGTCAGTAGTTGCACTTCACAAAACAATTAACTACGAGCCGGGGAATCAACTACGCGCCGATTTCGCACCACTATTTTGCTGTGGCAGAACAAAGAACCATTCGGAGAGTTTGCAGCATCGTGTATGAAACTCGAGGAGTGTGGAACGGAAGAGAACACAATCGCAGTTGGGATTCCGTACCATCAGTTCATATTATGTTCGAATTCGAATTTTGTGTATTTGTTTTATATCGTTCAACTTAGGTGGCGACACGGGCCCCGGTCAAAAATATGTGTTTTACACCGCAGCCAATAAAACAAACACATTCTGTCACACAAAAGACTGCAGAAGTCTGCAGCGTCAAGAGAAAGTGTTTGAATGCGCGAATCGGAATGAAGCTCCAGGAGGGGGGAGACCGTCAAAGTACGTCACCGTGCTGCGCGAAAGATGTCTCGTTGTTATAATTCCAGTAAACGGTGCTGGTCGAGGATGGTTGTTTATTGAGGATTCCAGTTGGGATATCACCAATTTGGCATACATAATACAAAAATCTAATCAGACACATACGATCACAGTTCCTGTTCACACGACGGGTAATGAATGTAGAAATCGATAGTTCTTTGAGTTACAGCAAATTGCCCTCCGGGATCTTGTTGATTTTTGGTCACTGAAATAAATCATCAACTATGTCACCTACTACTCACAAGTGAGTAGTATCTCACAACACCGTAAGTGACAGGAACTGGGGTGGGTGATTGTATGGACGGACGGAGCGCAATGCTTCCAGTGAACTCACAAACAGAATGAGACAAAATGATAATGATAGCATTTGTGCCTGTTGCGTTCTGTCAATTTATAAGTGCAAAGAAATGGAATGGACGGCATATCTATCCACTTTCTTAGTTTTGTCCCTGTTCAGAGAAACAGAAATCTGATTCGCTGTTTGGTTCAGAAAGCGAAGAAGATATATACACGGTAAACAGTATTGACAGTGAACTTCCGTTCTAATGTAATGTTTTTTACACACGTGGAATGGCCAAGGGAAATAGGAGTAACGAAGATGTCTGTCTATGTGTATCTGCCGTTTATGCGAGATAAGGAGGCGGAAATCATTCGAAAACGCTCTGAGGTGCAGTAGGCAAAACATTTCACGCTGCACCATTAAAAGCTGTATTGACATCTAAACTGATTTTGTGTTTCCATCTGAAGGACAGATTGTCAGGTTCTTCAGGCTCATTCTGTGAACCCACTCATTGACCTGTTCCTGTGGGACTGGGGTACATTGTCCGCACGACCAGGCGCTTATCCGATCGCGTTCGCGAACACCACCTAGCTTGTTTGAGGACAGGAACCATTTAGACAATTACGAGCGCGTTCCGACCGATTTACTAGGTTCGATGTAGCCAATCAAGAACAGTGAAACATCGTACCTTAGCCACGGCCAAAGCTGAAAATATCGGATTCCTAACTCCCCCCCTGCCCCTGCCCCTGCCTCCTTATGCGCCCAGAAGAAGTGTTTAACTTCTCCTGACGCACTTCATCCACCCCAAAACGAGGACCATCACTCGAACTTGTGACACTGTGATCAATTTACCACAAACAAACACACACCCGGTTGGAGCCAGAGATAAACCAATAGGATGCGAATTTCTCATTCCGTTTTTGTTCTTGTTGTTCGTCATATTT